GTGAACATGGGGATGGGGGTGAGGGGGACGGGGGTAGGAGCAGAGCCAGCCCCAGGCAGGGGATTCCGCCTCCGAAGGCTGCCTGGGCCCTTCCTCCAGGAGGCCACCTCCTGCCGAACCCACCTTCGTCCTCCTCCCAACAGAGGTTTATCCAGACCCTACCACCCAGGAGGCCATTCATATAAGCCTGTCGGACGGGATCCAGCCCACGAGAGCATCCTCTAGCCCAGTGGTTCTCAACCTTCCTCATGCCGCGACCCTTTAATACAGTTCATGTTGTGGTGACCCCCAACCATAAAATTATTTCCGTTGCTACTTCATCACTGTAATTTTGTTACTGTTATGAATCATAATGTAAATATCTGATAGGCAGGATATATTTTCATTGTTACAAATCGAACATAATTAAAGCATAGTGATTAATCACAAAAACAATACGTAATTATATATGTGTTTTCCGATGGTCTTAGGTGACCCCTGTGAAAGGGTCGTTCGACCCCCAAGGAGGTCGCGACCCACAGGTTGAGAACCGCTGCTCTAGTTAAAGAGACCGCATGTAGGGGCACATCTCGAGGAGGCAGAGTAAGAGCTGCCCGTGAGGTGCCTGTGCAGTGATAGGAGGAGAGTCGAGAGGCCCGCAGACGAGGGCCTGCCCCTGCCCGCGCCGGGCACTCCGTGTCCAGTTCTAGCCTCTGAGTGGGAACAGGTGGTGAAGGGCTCTTCTGGGAGCCCCGTTTGCTCAGCAGCTGCGACATCCATGGCTGGGCGGCAGCTGGGATGTGGTTTCTTTTCCTTTTAATGCTCAGGACCACAGACTGACCGTGCCGCGGGGGAGGGTGGGTGCAGGGCCACTTGGAGGCAGTGCACCCAGACCGCCCGCCGCACAGCAGCCCCTGCACGCGGCCGCTGGCTCCCACACCAGAGTGCGCCCAGGCCCGGATGCACGGCACAAACTGGGGCTCATCGCGGAACAGGTGTCCTCTGCAAATGAGCCAGAGCCGACGGGGCAATGGCAGGGCTGTGTCCAACTGGGGAAGGATGGAGGATCCAGGTCTTCAGGAAGAAAGGGGGCGGGGCACAGGGGACAGAAGGGCCCCAGCGTCCCGATAGTCCAGCATGGACAGAGCTCATCTCTGAACGCAGTACAGCCACATGCAGCCCTTTCCGTTTTTAAAAATGAAGAAATAAAAAGCCAGCATCCGCGAGGGAATGGGAGCCACACGCGATGTTCCCTAAGAGGTGGATCTGTAAGTCAGGGGCTCTCAGCTCAGACCTGCTGAGACGGAGCTGCGGCCCCCACCTGCCTCCCTCCGACCCCTCGAGTGTTACCCCTATAGCCCACTGCACTGCGGGGGGAAGGCTCCAGCGCCACTCAGTCCTGTTGCACACCCAGAGCCCAGGACAGGCACGCACTGTGTCCTTGCTTAACTGCACAAAATGGGAAAGTGGGGGTGCGCGTGTCAACATCAGTACAAAAGCAAAGCAGCTTGATGCCTCTCTCCCCACCCCCAAATTCCTCTGCATGTTTCCTAATCCGGAAACGTAAAACTAGGAGCCAATCCCCAACTGAACCCCAGCGAACAGACTGCACCCCCCCGGGGCCCCTCCTTCTACCTGCGGATCCATTGCATCAGCCTCGGCCCCGTCTCCCCAGCTGCTCCTGCTGACCACCCCGCCGCGTTCAAGCTGTCCCGGGATCGTGTCGCTGCCCAGGACTGCAGGTCCCCTTGTACGCAGCCCATGTCTCTCCCCTCAAGGGGGGAGGCGATAGAGAGTGAGCTGTTCTTGGAGGAAAGGGAAGATAGAAGGGAAGGACGTGCTACAGTGACGGCCACTACACAGGACAAATGCCTTAAGCACAGTAACCAATTACCTTCTGCAACAAGTAACCGTGAGGGAATATTCTAGAAGACAGGACAGTCAGCCGGGGTTATTCCTCCCAGCCCGTCCCCTGACCCAGACGTGAGCCAAGGGCAGCATCCTTGGAGACGAATGCCAACGGTCGTGAGGCCAGCAGTGGCCATGAGGCGCGAAGGCACTGCTTCTGTGGTGCCTCTAACAATGAGGCTGGCCCTGGCCGGGTTGGCTCAATGGATTGAGCATCGACCTGCGGACTGAAGGGTCCTGGGTTCGATTCCGGTCAGGGGCACATGCCCAGGCTGTGGGCTCGGTCCCCAGTGGGGGGTGTGCAGGAGGCAGCCGAACAATGATTCTCTCTCATTGATGTTTCTATCTCTTTTCCTCTTTCTTCCTCTGAAATCAATAAAAATATATTAAAAATAAATAAAACTGAAGCTGACTTGCTCGATGGCCAGTTTTATTTCCCTGCGAAAATAAAGGGTTTGTTTGTGGCTCCCGTGTCGTGAGATGGAGCTTCCAGGAGCCAAGAATTCAGGACTTGGCTTCCCCTTCACCCCTCCTGCCAGCGGGTCACTTAGTGCCTTCCTGCGCTCTGTTAACAGGGCGAGGAAGCAACAAGTCTTAGAAGGTTGCATGGCGAGTGCTAACCTGCAGGGGCTGACTGCGGACTCCGACACAGGGCGAGGCAGGCTGGGGGTCGGGGCTAGCTGGGGTGCAGGGGGCAGCGTGCCCATGGCACAGCTGTGTGGTCTGGACCCCCCTGGAGGTTACTCCAAGTGGTCAAGGAAACTGATGCCCAGACTACAGGGCTATCCTTGTGGGGAGCTGGGGGTTAAGAGCTAATTGGGGTTAATGGCAACGCAGTGGGAGCCCCTCCCTCCTCGGGAACTGAACTTTCCATGTGTCCTTGAAGTGCAGTGAAGACATGTTCAAGGATTCTATTTTTATTGCTCGAGTGGCTCTGAACATTTTGGTTTGGGA